CTTTTCTCTTTACTGACTTTGGTTTGTGTCCTTTCCCTGTAAAGAATTACAACTGTGAGGGGCACCTGGGTGGCTTAGTTGGCTAAGTGTCTGACTCTTGGTTTTGGCTCAGGCCATGATCTCACAGTTCATGAGATCGAGCCCCATGTGGGGCTCTGTGCTAATAGTGTAGAATAGTGTAGAATCCCTGCTGGGGATTCTCTCTCTCTCTCCACATACAATGTATATTACCTATGAAAATGTAAAAAAAAAAAAGAAAGTCCTTTATATTTGCCTCAAAGCCCCATTCAGTCTATCTCCCTTCCTTCCTTTCTTGTTTTCTTTCTTCTTCTGATTTCTATACGTTGGATCTTGCCTCACGAGTATGTATTTTCTATTAAAATTAAAGAAAAACTTAAAGTCTGTTGCCTTACCTAATATATTCCCAATGAAAAGCCCCATCCCAAATATTTTCAGAGAGAGGAACGGGGCAGGGGAGGGAGAGAAGAAACCCAAAAGAAAAGAACACAGCAAATTTTGCTGCCTTGATCTCTACGGAGACAGAAAATTCTTGTAGCTTTTAAACGGCATTGCTTGTTTTTTGGTCTTGTAAAAACAAACAAACACGTTTTTTCAGCTTTTACACATTCATGTTTCAAAACCTTAGGGCTATAAAGGCTGGTCTGGGGACAAACTGGGGAAATTTGAATATAGGATCCACATGAGTGGTGTTGTGGGATTATTGTAAATTCGTTTCAGGGTCATTCTTATCTTAGGAGACACAGGCTCACGTGCTTGGGGAAAAATGTCATGTTGTTTGTAACCTTCAAATGATTCAGAAAACAAATATGTGCGTAAATACCCACTTACAAAGAAAGAAACCTGATGGGGCACGCAGGCAGCAGGCATATAGGCTACATTCTTCCCACTCCTCTGCAGAGCTGAAGGTTTTCAAGATAAAGCTGAGCAGAAAAAGAAAGATTTTATTTAAACAAACAGGCTGTTGATATGATTGAAGTTAAAGTAGAATGGTATCCTATCCATTATGAGAAAATCAATAACCACCCTGCTCCTGAATTCACCACATTAACTTAAGGAGGCCTTGGCATCTTTTTGAATAAAAAGACCCATGAACTTTCTTTACGCTCGACTACGGGACAAGTGGCACTTGACTAAACTGGTTAAACAGTTGGTGAAACGAATCAGATGACTGACTGGTCACTTCAACTGATTGATCTGTTTCACCACCTTCCTCTCAATATTAGCCTAACTGGCTGAATTGTTCTTGTCCCCATAACCACTCTCATCTTCACCCTCGTAAAGTGATTTCTTCAGCACCTGCTATGGACGGGATGCTGGGAACAATCCATCCCTAACTCTGGGCTCTGTAGACCAGCTCTGGGAGCTTGAAGATACAAATCAAAGGCCAACATCAGAAAACGTAATCAGTACGCTCAATACGGAGTATCATCATTTCTCAGGATCTCACTGTATGAAGCCTGGTCAGTCTTCACTGATCACAAAGCCTCGCGCCTCCCTTACAGATGACAGAGTAGATTTATTTTTATGTAGCCAGAGTTTTTAATGTTTCTTTTCAGACTCGGGTTGCTGTGGTTGGGTTTTTGTTTTTTTGTTGTCATCACCGTATGTGGAATGAGTTTCTCGTTTTAAGATTATAAAGATATTTCTCTATGGTTTCTTGAGGTACTTTTAATGTTCAGTGTCTTATACTTAAATTTCTGAACCATCTGGGGGCGCTGGGGGGCTCAGTCCATGGAGCGTCCAACTTTGGCTCAGGTCATGATCTCACAGTTTGTGGGTTTGAGCCCTGTGTCGGGCTCTGTGCTGACAGCTCAGAGCCTGGAGCCTGCTTCGGATTCTGTGTCTCCCTCTCTTTACCCCACCCCTCATGCTCATGCTCTCTCTCTCTGTCTCTGTCTCTTAAAAATAAACAAACATTTAAGAAAAATAAATTTTTGAACCATCTGAAATTAGTTTGGCGTAAGAACCAAGGTAGGACAGCTGTAAGAAATGAGGTAGAATAGCTTAATTTTTTCCAAACGTTAAGCCAGCTGCCCAATGTTATTTTAATAATGTTGTTTGCCATTGATGTGACTTCATTTTTTAAATATATTTTTTAATTTTTTAAAGTTGATTTATTTTGAGAGAGAGAGAGAAAGCACAAACAGGGCAGAGAGAGAGGGAGAGAGAGAATCCCAAGCAGCCTCTGCACTTTCAGCGCTGAGCCTGACATGAGCCTCAAACTCATGAGCCGTGGGATCATGACCTGAGCTGAAACCAAGAGTCAGATGCTTAAATCGGCTGAGCCACCCAGGCGCTCTGCTATTGATGTGACTTTAAACTAGTCCCATATGTGCTTTTACTTAATTCTGATATCTCCTCTCTCTCACTGATGTGCCGGTACCATTCCGCAGGTGATGGGGCATTTTAATGCATTGACACATCTGGAAGTGAAATCCTCCCTGTGTTACTTTTCCATTTAGAAATTTCGAAATTACCTGGCTCTTCCCATATGTGGTCTCGCCCCAGTCAGCTCCAGTGCCTCATTTCTGGAACAAATATTTACTGAGTGAAAGGAGATGACACTGGGGACAAACTGAGGAAATTTGAATACAAAATCAACAGGAGACGATATTATGCGATTATCATTCATTCTCCTAGGTGTCATCCTTATTTTAAGAGCTAACCCTAATCTTTGTGTTAAACCAAAATGCCCGACTGATTTCCACATTGCCTCGCTGTTTAGAGTCGATCTGGCAAGCGCCCCTTGAAATCCTGTTGGTGTGTGGTTGGGAATGCACAGCACTTATAAATCATCTCAAGCAAAATCCCCATCTTTTACAACGTTGTGGACTCTAGTCCTGACGGCCATTTTTTTCCTCTTCATTTATTTATGTCTTCTTCTCATACTCCAGGGTCCTGGCAGGAAACAGGTGGAGCACTCAAAGAAAGAAACTGATGCATTTAGCAAAGTGACCTTTGAAGGCAGCTTGGACAGGATTTGGGGACATCAGGATAGTATATAGCACTTCAGAGCAGATCTTTGCAACCCCAGGCCTACGACGGCAAGGGGAAGGAGCAATCAGTGGAATTCGGCCAGAGTGTTCCTGAGGAGAGCGTCGCCTGACTAGGGCCTCGTTAGAGACACACAGCCTTGCAAGGGGAGGGAGCCGGGGGTGTAAACACCCTGACCCCTCTCCACATCCGCCAACCCCAACCAGCAGCCTTTGGCACCAACCAGTCGGTCAAGTTCATTCAGCTCAGCCTCCTGGGACACAGAGCAGGATGGAACGGCATGCGGGGCGGACCTGGGGGCCACTGGAAAGCCGGCAGCTGGCAGGGTAGAGCGGCATAGTCTGCTGCCTTTCCACCACCTCCTTCGTTCCTAAGCGTTCGTTCTCTGTCAGTTTTCTTCCCAAGTCGTTGATGTGTGTGTTGCTGTTTTCAATGTGATCCCTCCTCCTGTGACGACTGCGTCAATTATTGTCTATGGTGAGAAATCTATTGATTTATACCTATTGTTTGCATAGCAAATGGGTTCGGTAAGAAGGTGTTTGATGTTTACTACCTGTGTAACCATCACTTATGTGGCTATGTGCATTAATTCCATTACTTGTAAAGAAATAATACTACTTTCTTTTCCTTTTGTTCTTTTCCTCATCTTCTCTATTCTTCTTTAGTATTTAATGAGATCACACACACAAAGCAGTCAAAACGGTGTCTGGCTGCTAACATTTTTATTCTGTCTAATAGCTCTTCAGCTGATCTGGGGTACCAGGGACTTTTCAGTATATTAACCCTGATCATTAACCCCATGCCAATCTGCATTTTTTGGAGTTCTCTCCAGGTCAACTAGGTGGACCCAAGAACTGTAAACCTAATTCCTGATATTCTGGCTATTTCCACAAAAGGACCCAGTGATCACTTAAGAAGGGAACAGTTCTTGTGAGGGCCCCAGTTCCAGAAACAAGGCTTTATTTATATGACACCAGACTGCAAAGGCAGCTGACCTTTTTTCCTGAAGTGAGTCAACTGGCTGGCACATCTGCCTCTCAGGGGCAGTTTAGCCCCATCTCTCAGTTCTACAGAACAGTGGTTCTCAACCTGGGGTGCCTTAGCCCCCCGGGGGATATTTCGCTACGTCTGGAGACATCTGCGGTTGTCACAACTGGGAGGGCAGTGCTACTGGCATCCGGTGAGTGTAGGTCAGGGATGCTGGTCAACATCTTACAATGCAAGAAAGAATTCTCTCACCGAGAAGGTCAACAGTACCGAGGCTGAGAAAGTCACCTATGAAAAAAGAAGGAAGGTTGGTCAAGTGGGTAGTTTGAATTTAGACGAGACGTTGCCCCGGGTATGGTGAAGAAGTAAGAGGAACCTGACACTTCTGCAAACCTCATGTCTGGGGCGGCTTACATGGTTATGCTCCTCCCCTACAACCCCGACCTTGTCTTTGCATTTGGAAGCTCCAGGTCTGGCAGCCTAGAGCCTCTGGGACTCCATGCTTCCTGAAGACCATCTCTTCATCTCAGAAGAGTCCAGACATAGCATCGCTCCGTGCAACAACCAAGAAAGGTATCTTCAACATTGGGACAAATTCGGATAATGTAACTGATTAGGTGTGTGAGCTATTCTCAGGGCGTGGGCACGGGAGGGGAGGGAAACCAAGTCATATGCTCCCAAAAAATCACACCTTTTTTAAATCTAAAGAAAAATTTTGGTAGTCTAAAATGCCAACTCTTTGAAGATAAAGTCAGATATTTAATAGTAATAGAAATGGTTTCTGGAGTATATCTCTAGTTTATATGACTTAGGAAGGAAATACTATTAATGGCTGTTTTCGACAGCACATTTCAGGGCGATGTCCCCTGTGAATTTTGAAGCTACAGTACTTTAACCTCTTTGAAATGCACAATCTGGTGTTTTTTCTTTATCTTAGTTGATGCTCTTGGATCCGTCTCGGGCCGATCTTGACACCTTTTATGCTCTGCTCTCTTCAACCAGACTTGTAGATTTCATCGTGGAAGAAGACTGAATATGGTAAGAACAGCTAGGAGATTCCCGAAAGACATGTTATCTGTAATCTTGGTGGGAAGTACTGAAGCCAGCTGGCAAGAGAGATGTTTAAGAATTTGCATTTTGGTTATTTGCGGATGAAACTTCTTCGTGATATTTCATAATCAACATTAATCATGGAAGTATTTCATAATTTCAGATTAACCAGCGCTTGCTCTGTCCAACTTCCTTCAGGAGTTGATGCGGGCTGTAGTGAGGATGAACAGATGTTTGAATTGGGGAAATCACTTCTATGGGTCTAATTTGCTCATCTTATGGTGTTGGCTTTAAAACCATACAAAGCATTGAAGTCACCTGGCCTTTGTTCCAGCATGCGGTGTCGTCTGAACGAATATGTATGTGGGGGGAACACGCAGGATGAGCAGTGCAGGACACCTGTGCCGGCAAAGAAACCAGAGTCGCTTTCTGAACAGTAGTTATGGCTGCAAGGGCGGGTTTTATTTGGGAACTGGACTCCATTGCCAGCACAGCGCGGACATGTGGGGATTTATAGCCAAGGAGGAGGGTGGGGGTCTGTGGGTAGAAAATGACTAAGACGAAACATCAGGGGTGGGGGTGGCTTCTAGATAAGCCCACTTACCAGGATTCTTGCTGAAAGCAGACCAGGGAGATTGGCTATCACGTGGAGGATGTTGGGAGATGAGGGACTTTGTCAGATACCAGGGATGATCAGAGATCAATGGTGAGGGATTCTCACTAAATCGACCTATGAGGATCCATGCTAAAACTGGGCAGATGGACACAGAAATGCAAAGGTCAAGGCCTAGTGACTAAGAGGTACCTTCCAGGGCCATTGTGAGGCTCAAGTAATGGGGGCTATTGTGTTCGAGTTCTTGGGCAGTGTGAGCTATTAGGGATGCCAAAAATTAATCAGAAAAGGACATCAGTGGCCTTTTACTTAAATTATTTTGTCACCCAAAGTGGATATGTTGGAGCCCATTCAGCGGGAACCCACTCTGATTTCTGGATCTCCATGTTGGCGTCAGGGCTCATTTTGGGTCTAAGGTCTAATGAAGAGTTAACCACGGTGTGAGAGGAGGGGGGGACTGTGTTACAAAGGAAACCGCTGCTCATAGTTTCATTTCCTAGAAACTCAGAGGTCTATTTTTATGCAAACCCTTGCCCACATCTGCCTTTGCCCCCCGAGGGACGGAATAAGGGGACTGGTGTTAATAAAGACCGTTCACAGTAATTGACCACTTATTAGAAGTCCAGCATCGCACTAAGGGTTTGATGTCTGTAGATCTGTTTCGGCTTCACAGCAGCCTTATGAAGCACAGATGAGAGAACTGGGTGGTCTTGGCTGGACAGCCTGATTCCAGGAGCCATGCTGAAGCCCCTGGGTTCTCTGCACCTAGACGGAGCCAGGCAGACACGCCATAAATGTGAACTTCCATTATGATACCTTAACCACTGAAGAGAAAAAGAGAAACTGGTAGATCTTTTGGAGGAAAAGAAGTAGAAACAATTTGCAAAAGAAGAAATACAAATGGCCAGAAAGCCCAGGGAAATTATTCAACCTTATTAATAGCTATATGTCCTATCCTTTGATGTGGAAACTCCACTTCTAGAAACTCTTTTAAAAGACATGATCAAGGGGACGGCAAATAATTTATGAAGATAGTCTATGCAGCATGGCAAAGAGAATATGTCGTGCCGGATGTTGGGGAGGGGTTACTTAATTGTAGTCACCCACTAAATGGAATGTTATATAACTGCCAAATCATGTTTTTTGAAAGAACACCGAAAGGCATAAGAAAGTACTTATAATACAGTGGTAAATGAAAACAGCAAACTAGACATTGATAAGTAGCATATATTTCTGATTTTCTTTTTTAATTTGAGATAGAGAGAACATGGGAGGGGCAGAAGGAGAGAAAGGGAGAATTCCAAGCAGCCTCCATGCTCAGTGCACAGCACAGAGCCCAACGCAGGGCACGATGCCGTGACCCCAGGATTGTGACCTGAGCCACTATCAAGAGTTGGGAGCTTAGCCAACTGAGCCCCCGCAGGCACCCCTTCCTGATGTTTTTAATCTGCACAAACTAGTTGCTTCCTCAGTGTTGGTTTATCTGTGAGGATGGTTTACACAAACACATGTAGTACTCACTTGTCTTAATAGTTTCACAAAAGAGCCCGGCATTCTAACCATTTTGCCTTTGAGAGATCAAAGGATTCTTGAGGTAAAGTGATCCACCAAAGTGAGAGGGCTCTTATGTGGCCAAATAAGAGTTTAATATCCAATCTTTCAGGGGCACCTGGGTGACTCAGTCAGTTAAGCATCTGACTTCGGCTCAGGTCATGATCTTGTGATTCATGAGTTCGAGCCCCACATCGGGCTCTGTGCTGACAGCTCAGAGCCTGGAGCCTGCTTCGGATTCCATGTCTCCTGCTCTCTGCCCCTCCCCTGCCCTCCCCTCAAAAATAAACAATAAAACATTAAAATTTTTTCAATGCAATCTTTCTATCAACAAAGCCCTAGTTAAGGCTGGAACGCTCCTCACTCTGTGTAATAGACACAGCAACACGGAGGGCAGTATTAGAAAGAAATGTGCTGATATGTAACCATAGTCAAGCAGTTGTATAAGTAAAAATAGTATTCTGCTCTTCATTATAGCAAATTTCTTCATGCCCAAGCAAAGAGGTAATCAGAAATTTATTTACTAAATTAAAGAAACCTCGTCATTTAAAAATTTGAAAGGTTGCGGGGTGCCTGGGTGGCTTAGTCGGTTAAGTGTCCGACTTTCGCTTAGGTCATGATCTCGCGGTTCGTGGGTTCGAGCCCCGCGTCGGGCTCTGTGCTGACTGCCAGCTCAGAGCCTGGAGCCTGTTTCAGAGTCTGTGACTCCCTCTCTCTCTGACCCTCCCCTACTCATGCTGTCTCTCTCTCTCTCCTAGAAATAAATAAAACATTTAAAAAAAAAATTTGAAAGGTTGTGCTAAAATTAAAAACAATCATTACAGATTAACCAGCCAGTGCCTTTGCTCTCCAGGAACAGATCACTTCTTTCTCAGAAGTTGCCTAAGCTTAGGGCTGGGCGATGCATCATGGCCATGGCTGGTCTCCGGCTTGCCATCAACATCTGTACAGCCTACAAGCTAAGAAAGTTTTTATGGTATTTTTTTTAATGTTTATTTTTATTTTTGAGAGAGAGAATGAGAGCGGGAGCAGGGGGTGGGACAGAGAGAGAAGGAGACACAGAATCCGAAGCAGGCTCCAGGCTCTGAGCTGTCAGCACACAGCCCGACGCGGGGCTCGAACCCATGAACCGCGAGACTGTGACCGCGGACGCTCAACTGACTGAGCTGCCCACATGGCCTGAAAGTTGTTATGTTTTGAAGTGATTGAAAAAGTCTAAGGAAGAGTACTATTTTATGACCCATCCTAGTTATATTAGATCCAAACTTCAGTGCCCACAAATAGTTTTATTTTTTTGTGCAGATATTGTCTGTAACTGCTTTTGCGCTACGATGGCAACCTACTCGTTGGTTGCGTGGTTGTGACAGAGACCATATGGCCTGCAAATGGAAAATTCTTGCTAACTGGCCCCATACAGGAAAAGTGTACCTATGGTTTGGTGGTGGTTTATGGAAAACAAGTGGATAGGGTATAAGGTCAAATAAGATTTAATATCTTTCAGTCTTTAGTGCCTTTTGTGATGCATAATAGCTGTTGAGTTCCAAGTTTATGTAAGACTACTTTATATCTTTTTATTCTTTTGTTTTGAAAACTAAGTCTGTTGGGCTAAAAATGATAGGAAGTAAATGATGAAAAGTCTCTTTATTTTTAAAGTAGGTGGGTTTTATCTTTACACTTACTTTTCTTTGGTTACATAATGAAACTTTAATATTTAAGGTAATTACACTTTACAGACATTAGCCTATAATGAGAAATCTTTCGAAATTTGCAAAAAAAAAAAAAAACGGGGGAGGAAGGGAAGCTATTTTGTCATAAATTTGTTAGGGAAATTCCAAGTGGAGGCTTAGCCTACCAAACGAATAGAAAAACGAGGAAATCAGAGGCTCCTGAGGTAAAGTGATTCGCCAAAGTGAAGTAACTTCCTTATTCACAGTGCCAGGCTAGCCCCCAGGGTGATGTCCTTATCGCTATCCAGTTATCAAACAATTCAGTGCCCTACTCAATTAATAGAAGTTCCTTCCTTGGTGAGTTACAGATCGAGACCACACCAGGTCTTGCACAAAGGAAACTTTATTTGCAGCAAATAAGGAGACCACGGGGGAATGACTTCCGAAGCCCCTACGCAGATGTGAGTGGGTTCCTTTTATTCAGGGTTAGGATGAATATTCAGAAAGGGAAGCTTTGTCAAGGTGGGCACATGGTTGCACAGCAGATGTACTTAGAAAACAGGCGTACACGAGCATCTTATGTTAATGAAGCGTGTGTTCCTCCTGGGGTGGGGACTTTAGCACCCTAAGGAAGCAGGGGTAACTGTCGGACATGGGGAAGGGGCTGTAGAGGTTGCAGGTGTAAACTGGGCAGGGTCTTGGGCTCCTGATCTCCAGCAAGGAACACAGGGCCTTGCTGGTTCACCAGTTGGAAACACACCAGTTGACCTTGAGGAAAAAGTCTGAAAAACCAGCTTTGAACTTTCTGGTAGTTCCAACCACCCCATGGGGTGGGGTTTCAATATGGACAGGGCAATAGGTTAGTGACTTCAAATTCACAGGTGTCCTAGACTGCTCTTCCACTCACTCCTTGCCTCTCCGACTTCCCTTTCCTATTATTTTCTAGCTGGCCCGGCCACTCGCAGGATCCCCGCCATAATATGAAATCCTTTGCTTCCCCAGCTTGCCTTCTGTGCTCCTGCTATCAGAAATGCATATTCCGATACTTCCTTTACAACTTGGGCAACTTGGCTCTTTTCCTGCCCAAGCGTTCTTGAAGATAGACTGGAGGAGCGGGTGAATGCACAGAGCTCTTGCGTTCTTACTAGAATGCCTGG